CCACCACCTGGACTGGCTCCAGTGCCCTGGGGGAACTTCTGAAGCCACAACAAAATGTCCAACAGGGAAGGCCTGTGTCTCCACTTTCTCAGTCTCAGTTGGTGCCAGTAGATGCGCTTAGCTGGGAGGCTGTTCTTGGCATTGTTGGGGAGATTCTGCTTTCACCTCTGTGACACGTCATAGCCAGTCTCTAAGTTGGTGACCAGGTTGGCCTTGGCTCTGTCTGAATACGTGTCCCACTCCTGACTGGGGTCCCCCAAAGCAAGCATGCTGCTCCTCTGCCGTGGCGAGTCTCTAGGTGCCACTAGGAGAGAGAGGAAATTGCTGGATCTGTCCTTATGATGTGGTGGGGCCGGGAGCTCTTCACATGTCTAACTGCACTACATCTCTACGTCTCTGTGTCATCACCCATGTGTGCTGGCACAGCTAGAGCTGCCAGGCTTGAAAGGCCTTGTGGGAAGCAGGGCACCAGTGGGTCACCCTTGGATCCCCCAGATGCCCAGGCTGGGTCTGTCTTAAGCCCAGGTCCTCGCTCCCCTTCCAATCTTCGGAGGATTAGGAGAGAAGGGTCAGAACACAGAACTAATTCTTTTCTTCTGTCCAAACTCTGTCTTCTTCTCTCTAGACTTGAGCCCTTTCCTCTCATCCTCAGAGAATATCTACTACCAATCTCCTGCTCTGTCTGTCCATGCTGATGAGTAAATCCATATTGTCCCATATCAGGGAAAGGGTCTTTGTTTTAAAGAATTGGGACTTCCCTGGCTGTTCAGTGTTTACGATTCTGCGCTTCTAATTCAGGGAGTGCAGGGTCAATTCCTAGTTGGGGAACTAGGATCCCAATGCCAAGTGGCATGACCAAAAAAAAAAAAAAGGCTAAAGAATTAAGTGTCTTTGCCCCTGTTGTAAACTGTTCCTGGTGACAACATCCTCCAGCCAGTGATCACCAGGAATATGTGAGAAGCTCAGTAAGTTGAGTTTATTCTTTGTCACAATGAAAAAAAATATGCACACCATGGAGAACTGTGATGCATCTCAGTAACAGAGAGTTGTAAAGAACTTATAAGATTTTGGCTTATGTTAGGTGATTTTGCAGAGAGTTTAAGGAAGAGGAGTTCTGCTCTGAATTGGCTGCTGCAGGAAGCATGGGTAAGCTAATTCTATCTTAAGGTACTTCAATAAATCTTATCTGGAGAGGGAAAACTACAAGGCTAAAGTCATACTTGGCAATTACTCACATTAACCAGAAGAGAGGATTGGCATTTTGTGGTTTGGACAATGTTAATGCTTTGCCAATAGTCAGAAATGGTTGTACAGTCATCTTATTTTTGTCTTGAGCCATCATGACCAGGGTTCCCTGGTGGCTCAGACGGTAAAGAAGCTGCACAATGCAGCAGACTTGGGTTCGATTGCTGGGTTGGAAAGATATTCTGGAGAATGGAATGGCAACCCACTCCAGTATTCTTGCCTGGGGAATTCCATGAATAGAGGAGCTTGGTGGGCTACAGTCCATGGGATCACGAACACTTGTACATGACAGAGCGACTAATACACACACACACACACACACTCACATCATGACCAGAGAGGCCTTGCCTTGAAGTTGATATTCTGTGACATTGTTCACATTCAACAAGAGAACACCAAGGCCTAACTGACTGGCTTCCAGGTTCCAAAGGTTCTTTCTCAATGGCTAGCTGCAAAGGTTTGCATCCCTACCATGTTAAGTGGGAAATGGCACATCAGTTGTGAATTTGAAGGGGTCTTCCATACTAGGACTAAAGCTGATGCTGCAATTTGTTCCTAATTTGGTTTCATGTGTCTGATCTCAGTTGGTCAAAACTCAGTGAGGAGGAGGCCTGTGACTGGCAATCCCAGCACCCAACATATGAAGGAAACCTTATGAGCAAACACAAGGGCCAGTTTTTGAGAATCTAAGTGCCATGCTGGGACCACAGCAGACAGTTGGAGAGCATGTGGACGCTTGGCCTATGACTGGATAGCAATTGGTACAGTGGGCTCAGCTGAGCAGGTTCATCCCTGAGTGAGTCTCTTCATTCCCAGAAAGACAATGAAGGTATATGGTATAAATATATATCCCATATAGGCATATGGAATCATTTTTTTCTGACTAGGACGTTTTCCTTCTTTCAAATTGTGTCTTGGCCAGAACTACTGTGAACTATGAAAAGGACCTACATTCCCCAGTAAACTATAGAACATTACTGTGTGATTCCAATCTTTAAACCCTGAGAGCTGGGCATCACAAGAGGCACTAGATCAGTAGCCCCAAATTGTGTTCCTCTATTTTAGGTCCTGAAGGTCTGCGAGAAGAAGTCTACAAGAAGTGGCAAATTTTATCAATGAGTGAATACAATGGAACTGGAAGGCTAACATGAGGGGTGGAGTGGTTTGTCACAGAGGAAATAAGCCATCTTCTTAGGATGAAAACTGGGGAGAAAGAGTCCATGGACCTTATTTCAAACCCAGAGTTTTAGAAAGGAATTAAAAAGACATTAGCAGGAAACATGCTTTCTTTATAAATTAGGTTTACTCAGGGACTCAAAGGAAAATCGAATCAGCCTAAGAAACAAGATTTCGTCTTTTAGTCAGAACACTGGCGGTGGGGAAAGAAAAGCAAAAAGAAAACATAAAAGATAAACTGATTAAACTCCAGGGATGAAAGCTTGCCTTGGGAAAATAGAGAAAGTTAGAGAACACAAGGCTGGAATCTCAACATGGATCTGAAATGGAAAAAAAGCTACACTCTGGGGCACTTAGAGAAGATGCACAGGACATTTACATTCATTTGAAAGGGAAAGACCAAGAAAACCAGTATGAAATATTTCAGGAACTAGTAAGAGAATTTCAAGATCTAGAGGCACACACTGTCTGCACAGTGAGAAAATGTGGCCGAAATAAGGAGGGCATTATATGTAGGGAAGGAAAGATGGTCAAGTGTAGCCTGGCTGGCTCATGACAGGTTGAGTACTGATCTGGGTGAGAGGCGGGGCTTATGTGGGGCTCCTGCGGGCATTACCTGGCTTGGGAAGGGAAAGTGGCAGGATGTTTTTAAACAGTGGAGAACCCCATTAGGCCCCTGTGAGGCAGAAACTGAGCCAGTTTGAAAGGAGAGGAGCACTTTTTGGCAGAAAGAAGTTTCTATTCACTTGTATATGTTTACTCAATATAATGAGCTTGGGGCTGATGTCATGAGACTCTTGTGAGTCCTACTGACTGCATAGCATTAAGTCAACTTTGACAACAACAGACATGCACCCCTGTGTGCCCAGGTGGTAGGGGTTGTAGAGGGAAGCAGGCTTTGCAGAAGGAGGCTTCTCTTATTATAGAGAGAGCAAAACAGGAAAGCAGAAGTTGGGATATTCATTCAACTTCAATTAACAAGCCAAAGATTTTAATTTTGAAGCTTTTTGAACTTTAATAATGAAACATAATGCATATTCAAACCTGAGACACTGGCATACTGCAGGCATTGTATTAAGTGAGCTATGTTTAGCCTGGTGGCAACCAAGTTTGTTTAATCATTGCATGTAATATAGTACAAGCTATATTGCACTGCATGGCTAGACACATAAGTAGATTGAAGATATAGAAAAGGGGATGATTTTTGGCCTAGGGTACAGTATGAACTTAGAGTTGCTTTAAGTAAAGTCCCATCCAGAGCCATGTCAGAGGGTACTAAACATTGGCCCCAGGTTTGGCAATAACTGGATAGGGGCCAGACTCTCCCCAGTCCCAGCCAAATGTAGCCTGTGTCCTGTTTTGGGTTCTGGACACCTGTAGTTTTTACAATATTAAAGGTTTGAGAAACAAACAAATGAAGAATATCCAACATTGACCATGAGTGACTCCCAAATCCTAAAATATTACTAGTTGACTCTTTACAGAAAAAGTTTACTGACTTGGAAGAAAACTCTTCCTTCTCTCCACATTCCCACCTCAGCCCATAAACACAACTTTCTTTGAGAAGTGCTGGGTAAAGAATTTCAACTACTACCAACACCCCTGAGAAATCAATGGCTAATTATTCCTAAGACCATAGGGTGCATCCTGTCACACATAATGAGATTTGGCACTACTTTGCCTCAAAAGGAGAAGTCAGTTCTTTCCCTCCCACCAGCCTGGCTCCTGTTTTGCCTGGTGGGTTTAATGAGACCACGCGTCGGACAAGGGTCTACTTGACCAAGTCAGCTTTCTCCACCAGTAAGTCCCTCAGTCCAAGCTTCCAGGGAGGTAAGAGTAGGGAATCACAATTTGGCTTTGGGTCTAAGCTACTTTCTTCATGCAACTCTTACCCATGATTCCCAGGGGGCTGCTGTGCCCATCAGAAAAGTGATACCAGGACTCTTAGTTGGTGATTCACAGCTGCCTTCACATGACTAGAACTTGGTCAGGTAGGCAAGCTCCATCCTCCAATGGTTCTACTCATGTGCATGAGTCCTTGAAGCTCTTGTATAGATAAAAAAATTGAGGAAACTCTTTTGGGGGTCTTATCTTTTAGAGACTCACCTCTTGCTATAAAGAACATGGTGGCAGTTTAGTTGCTAAGTCATGTCCAACTCTTGCAACCCCACAGACTGTAGCCCACCAGGCTCCTCTGTCCATGGGATTTCCCAGGCCAGGATACTAGAGTGGGTTGCTATTTCCTTCTCTAGGGGATATTCCTGACCCAGGGATTGAACCTGGGTCTCTTGCATTGCAGGTGGATTCTTTACCAGCTAAGCCACCAGGGAAGCCCCATAAAGAATATAATGATAATATAATCAAATTTTTAGAATTAGACACCCTCAGGCTCAAGCACCAGCCAGCTGAGTCCTTATCAACCTTTGGCAAATTGCTTTAACCTGTCCAGGACTCATTTTTTCATCTGTTAAATGAGGTTAATAATAGTACTACAATAGATAGCATGGTTTTGAATGCAATTTACAGAAAGTTCAACTCAAAAGTGGCTAAACAATAAAATAACTTATTGTCTCACATACCTGGTAGTTCAGAGGATAGGTAGAATTGAGGGTTGGTTGATTCAGCAGCACCATCAAGGACCTCCATCCTTTTTATTTTTTCTGCTCCATCATTATGTCAGCTTCTTCCTATAGCAATAGGAACACAGAGTGTTTTTTCCCTCATTGTCACTAACTACCACCTTGAAGACTCAGTGACAGGACAGACTAAACCTAATGTACGTGCTAAAAGGGGATAGGTGTGAGTTGCAGTAGTCGATGCCTCATCCACATCCCCTTCCCCTCATTATCAATATATCAGGGAACACTGGCTCAACTTTCAGCTGCCAGAAGAGGCACTTTTTTACACGACAGCTTTGTCTGGCTTCCAGAGTCCGTATCAGGACAGAAGAGCTAGGGTGTTTCACATCCATCCACCTAGCTCCCTCACAAGGGATATCATGGAAGCATTCTATTGCAGCACCCACAGTTTCCCAGGCAGCTTTAACACCAGTCACTCCCTCACTCTTCTGGCTGACTCAATAATGCCCCCTGTTTGGGCTGCCTTCTATCTGTCTCATTTATGCTTTTCATGTGCCTTCAAATCCCTGTTTCTGAGTCTGGTTTTTCTAGAAACCTATCTAAGAGGGTCAGCCTCATCAACTTCAAAGGTTAACCTCAAAGTTGCTAAAAATCCACCTGATTACTTTAAAAACTTATAACCCTGGAGAAAGAAGCATTTATCCTGCCTATCTTATATAGGATAAAATTACCTTAATAAATATTTGACAAGAAGTCTTTTTATACAAGTCTTTCAGCTGATATATGAAGGGGAAATGAATTAAATATCATTATTTGATATTTAATAATGAAATTTGATATTTAAGTATGTGAAGTGAAGTGAAAGTAGTCATGCCTGACTCTTTGCGACCCCATAGACTATACAGTCCATGGAATTCTCCAGGCCAGAAAACTGGAGTGGGTAGCCTTTTCCCTTCTCCAGGGCATCTTCCCAACCCAGGGATCGAACCCAAGTCTTCTGCATTGCAGGCGGATTCTTAACCAGCTGAGCCACAAGGAAAAAGCTTTTTATATTAAATGGATATTTAATTAAATTAAATATTAAATTTAATTATATTAAATATCATTTGCAACCACTAAAGAACTATTGAATCTAGGCAATGATCATCAATGACTTCTACTCTCAAAACAGTCACAACTGGACATCCTGATGTACCTTCTATTGGAAGCACACACCACCACCTGTGGCACAGTCTCATCCCCCAAATTCAGTGCTGAATCTGATCAAACCTCTAGATCTATTACCAGTTCATAGGAAATGCAAGGAATAAGGAACCTATTAAGCAATCAGCTAAATCCAAACTGAGACCTCTACAGGACAAACCAAGTTCTTCCACCAAAAAAAAAAAAAAAAAAAAAGAAAGAAAGAAACTTAATTGCAAGAAAAAAAAAAGAATAGAGGAGACCCAATAGAGTCAAGATATATTGAGCAACTAGAACAATGACAGTTTTTTATTATCTATTATGTCAAGGGAAATAGAGGGAGGACAGAAGAAATGAAGAGAGGAGAATAGAGGGAGAGAGATGAGATCTTTGCCCTCTTTTTAAATAACTTGTCCTTTAGAGAAAAGACTTTATTCAATGAGATTTACCTACTAATTAACTAGTTATTACAGCAGAACAGTTTCTTCTCATCAGAGAGGGAAAAGAGATGAGAAGTGGAGTTGGAACAGGCTTTGAAAATGAGAATGCAAACTTAAAGAGTATTTGGTACTCTATTTTTAAAGTATATTTAAATCCAACCTAGAAACCCTGGAGTTTATAATATCTTACAGGGAAAGGAGGCATTTCTAAGTCATTTACTATTAGAACTTTCTTGTCTTTGCCTTCTCCTCTGCTTTTTTTCTTATTTCCATCTTCAAAGAAGAGACGATTTCTCCCTTTTCCTGTGAGCTAAGCATCCATTCATCTTTGAGGAAACAGCACCTGTGCCCTAGCAAGTCTCATGGAGCTGAGATGCAAGAGTCTCTTCTGACATCAGAGAGAGCATGAATGTAAAAACTTTCTGTATGCTTATTTGAGAGGAGACTTTTCTGAGTTGCTGGATTGCTTTTGAAAGCAAGAAGGGAGACTATGTTAGTTAGCATAAATACTTGCTTCAGCAGTTCCCCCATTTATTCCACCTTAGCAGGTGCACAGTCCTTTAATCATAACTGTCAAGAAAGGAAACCTTGCAATTTACATCATTAAAAAGAGAGAAAGATGAAATGGAGAGAAGGGATGAAGAAGACAAAGACAGAGTATGAGAAACAGACATATATACTGAAAGACAAGGAATTGGGGAAAAAGTGGTNCCTTGCAATTTACATCATTAAAAAGAGAGAAAGATGAAATGGAGAGAAGGGATGAAGAAGACAAAGACAGAGTATGAGAAACAGACATATATACTGAAAGACAAGGAATTGGGGGAAAAGTGGTGTCAGGGACAGAGAAAAGGAAAAGAATGAATACATGGTTTTACATTTTTTTCTGAGCTTTATGTGAATAACAGATAACTCATCGACTAAAGAAAGATGGTTTTAAAAGAATCTTACAGATAAGGTGGGGAATAAAGTCCTCCTAGAATGCACAAAAAAATAAAGGAAAGAATGCAATTCAAAATTATGAGTTATTCACATTCATCCCTCCTCACCTCCCGAGGGAGGTGGATATTATAGAGGACTCTATCTTTTTAGAACTCTACTTTTTTGTGTTTTTGACTCAGTACATACAGGGATACATGGGCAGGAGGGGATAAGTTGCATTACTAATAAATGATTTAGGGGGATAGGAAGATCCCCCTGCATAGGAATGTGTGGAGAAAGCGTGGAAGAGGAAGCAGGAAGAAAAAGTAGAAACACATATTACACATACACATATATACATATGCAAAGAGAGAAAGAAACTAAACCTCAAAGCAGACCTAAGTGAGAGTATGGCAGGTGTTTTGGGTTTGCAGGAGTGAAGTGCAAAAGCCCAAAAGGAGGTACCATTACCTTCAGCTTAACCTCCAGTTAGAAAAAATGTGCCAAAATTTTTCTTGTCTCACGATGCACAGGCTAGGACATATTTTATCAGGGAGCTGTCCAGTGAGAAATCTGATCTCTTAGTAATTGCAGTTCTCTGCTATGCTCACCCACACCCTTGAGGCAGTTGAACAACCACTGGTTGGAATGTCACGAGCTGTAAGCTTATCTCATGAATTATCAACATCAAAATTATAAAATCCCAATTTAGCCAATGCGTCATCAGTGGGTTAGGCAGCTGCCATTATGCATTCAGCTCCATTCTAGACTCACTTCCTGTAGTTTGATAGAGATGGCTTTCTACTTGACTCATTGAACACGTGAGCAATTAGAACTGTGCTAACCATCTGATACTACCAGACGTCTTCATTAAAAAAAAAAAAAAAAACCAATGTACAGAAAAGCAACTCTTTGTATCATTTGGCAGAAAGACATTACATCATTTAGCCCAGGTGTTATTTACATGACTGTCAGAAGAAGGCTGAGTGCTGAGGAATTGATGACTTTGAATTGCGGTGCTGGAAAAAACTCATAAGAGTCCCTGGGACTGCAAGGAGATCAAACCAGTCAATCCTAAAGGAAATCAACCCTGAATATTCATTGGAAGAACTATGGCTGAAGCTAAAGCTCCAATACTTTAACTATCTGATGCAAAGAGCCAATGAATGGAAAAGACCCTGATGATGGCAAAAGATTGAAGGCAAAAGGAGAACTGGGTAGCAGAGGAAGAGATGGTTAGACAGCATCACCAACTCAACAGACATGAATCTGAGCAAACTCTGGGAGATGGAGGAGGATAGAGGAGACGCATGCTGCAGTCCATGGGGTCTCAACGAATCGGACATGACTTAGTGACTGAACAACAACAGGAGAACTAAGCTTTTCAGTGGCCCAACTGCTTGATTCAACATGCCAAAACCACCTGATGTCTGGCATGCCCACTAAAGTGTCCTTAATACTCCTTGTTTTCATAATTTAAATATGAAATTGAAAGGAATGATGGTATTTTTAAAGTCTTTATGACTGACCGATGCCTGTAGCAAATAATCTGCTTGGAAACATAATCACAAATGTTTCTCCCACCATTAAGAAGGAATCAAAGAAAGCAAGTATAGCAAACATAACAAATCACTACCAAAGTAAAAAATACAATCCAATAGAAAATTCTCTCCAGAGGGTGGAGAGATGAACACTATGTAGGTATGTATGTATTTATTCTACTTGTGTATGATCTACTTCCAAAAACTAGGAGTTTATAAGAATCATATATACAAAAATATTGTGTAGAAAAGGAGATAAATTAATATATTAAATATATTGCTAAACAACTGTTAAATATTAAATATAGTACTAGCAGAAAAGTCAAAAAGAGAATAAGATGCCTTACAAATGACTCATTTCATAGTATACCAAAAGAGCACTAAATCGGTATATGGATAAATCTTTACAGAAATAAGTTCTTCAGGAGAGGACAACATTTTCCTGGTATACTATAAAATTCTAAAAGATATTTACCACAAACATCCTCAACCAAAGGCCAAAAGATAACACAATATCTTCAATATTCTTCTTATTGGATGTCTGGGAGACTTTTTCTTCAAGAATAGTCTAGTACTACTACTTTGGCATAAAGCAAATTACTCAAATATTTACAACCTCCAAACTTTGATTCAGAGAATTATGTCAAGCATCCTTTTTACAACAACATGAGATGCTCACAGGTTTCTAATAAGTATTGATTTCTGCTCCACCACCAAATTTTCCCCACCTCTTCACAGAAAGATCTCAGTAAGTAGTGACAAAACTCACAAGTTTGGGGTTGTGGGGGATAGTGTGGTAAGAGAAACAGAAGCAACACCAGGAATCTAGCTATTGAAAATACTAAAATTCATCCTTGTAAAGTAAAAAATGAGCTAAACTTACTTAAAGGAGCTTCCTAAAGTCCTAGAAAATCAGTATTAGCCAAATAGTCAAATCAAAGTATTAGAACTGATTTTCAGGAGGGTTGGGTGGGGGAATAATTGTTCATTATCTTTTGTCATGGAGGTTCATTTGAGAGAGCAC